TTACCCACCTATGGGTAATCCCAGCAGCACTAAGACCCATAATCCCAGCCTTGGATCACACATAATCCCAGTGGATCATGAGTTAACACAAACTCTAGAAGTCCTCACCCCAAGACTGCATGAGGCTTTGGGGGGACAACTAGACACAAACCATAACAACAAACATGTGCCTACCATCACTTTTAATATTATAGTACAGTGGTGACAAACCCATGGCACTTCTGCTGCAGTTGGCACACAAGTGAAGTCACCCTAGCAGCCAAACACTGGATAGCTGTTTTTGTTTCTGAACTAAAATCTCAATACTGCAATTTGATTGCATTGTTGGCATTTTGTGATAAATAAGTGGGCTTTGGGTTCCAGCTTGGGCACTCAGTCTCTAAATGTTCACCATTACTGCTTTAGTATATGTCTTTCTCATATTACAGATGCATGCACTCACCCTTATGTACATATTCCAACAACAAAAGCAAAAAACTTGAATAAGAAAAAGCTCAAGGGCTGGGGAGATGGCTCAGTGGAATAAGTGCTTCCCTGGCCAAGGGCCTGAGTTCAATCCCTGGTTCCGCAAAAAAAACTCTCAAACTTTATTTCTCTTACAATACTTTACAAAACAGGTCATTTTTTAAAAACAGATCATTTCTGACACCAGATATTTTCCCCTCGTATGCCATGCAAACAGTTCGAAGGAACTGAATACCAACGAGGTGTCCACTAATTCACTTCTGACACTGTGTACCAGATATCATGTCAGATCCCACACGGCGAGGTCTATATTCCCAAGACTGACACCTACTCACTTTAGGTATCAGTCACAAACATTAGGCTGTTACCTTGTATTTCTGGAATTAAAGTCAAGATTGCTACCACCCCCATCTTGGGTTTAATTAATTTGCTCATGCAGCTCACAAAACTCAGGAAAGCACTTAGTTTTATATAGCAGTTACAGATGAAGAGCTGGATATAGAGTGAGACATATTGGAAGGGGTGATGAGGCTTCAGGCACACCACCTTCCACAAGTATCCACATCTCTTTTTGGAGACTGTTGTGTCACATGATTGAAGTATGTACAACCATGTAGAAATGTGAGTGGACAAAATGGTTGTAATCAGACTAATGCACTTATTGAGGAAACTATTCAGGGTTTTCTATTCAAGGTTTTCTTGTCTTTCCTCTGCACCATTTCTTCTTGGGTATGGGATGGGACCTATTCTGAAATACGGTGGTCTTACTACTTATGACTATCAGGGGAGGTCAGAGAATTCCATTTCATCAGTTCCAATGGTAGAAAGGAAGGAAATTAAATCATGACCTACCCTGGGGTAGAAAAATTCTGATTTGTGTGGCCTGCCTTTAGGGAGTTATAAGCCAAGAACTATGGACAGAAACCAAAATATGTATAGTTCCCAGCCTTGACAACAAGGCTCTGTTTAAAAATAAAATCTATAAAAAGGAGGTGCTACTGAAGACATAGTTCAGTAATAGAGCATTTGCCTAGCATGCATTTCTGTGCTTATAAGTTTTATCTAAATTTTTAAAGTATAGGGGCTGGTGAGATGGCTCAGTGGTCTAAAGCATCTACTTAGAACAAGCTAAGCTAAGCAAAGCAGGGGAACCGCGGTTCAATACCCCAGCACCACATGGCAGCCAGCCCCACCCCCTGGTGGGGTGAGCTAGCCACACACACACACACACACACACTAAATAGATAGATAGATAGATAGATAGATAGATAGATAGATAGATAGATAGTAAATAAATTTTTAAAGTATAAACATGAATGTTTATTTAGCATTGTTCTTGCTAAGAGAAAATAAAACTGTAGGAGAAAAAAAATAGGGTCAGCAAGATAGCTCAGCAGTCTAAAGCCCTTGCTTAGGCAAGCACAGGGACCATGCTTTGATCCCTGGCACCTCATGCTGTGCCAGCCCTACCTCCAGGGCAGGCTAAGGCAGCCACAAAAAAAAAAAAAAAAAAAGGAAATGCACCAAAATTGTATGGTGTTTTTACCTGTGGTTAGTAGAATTCTGTATAGCATATTTTCCAGATTTTTCAAAGCTTCTACAGTCTGGGAGACTGAAGCATCATATTCAGATCTGTAATAACCTGAAATGGTGTTTACCTGCAAAATTTGATGTTGATGATAACTTCATAACAAAAAAGCAGTGTTATAAGACAGATAATAAAAAGTTAAGGAAAAACCAAGTATGGTGGCACATACCTTTAATACCAGCACTTGGGAGGCTGAGGCAGGGGATCATTGTGAGTTCAAGACCAGCCTGGGCCAGCCTGAACTGCATAGTAAGACCGTATCTCAAAAAGACAAAAAAGGGGCCAGGGAGATGGCTTAGTAGAATAAGCGCTTCCCTGGCAAGTGCAAGGGCCTGAGTTCAATCCCCAGTTCTGCGGGGAAAAAAAAAGAAAAGGTTAGGAAGAGGGCTGGGCATAGTGCTATAATCTTAGCACTCATAAAGCCTGAGGCAGAGGAAACCTTGTTTTTGTTGTTGTTGTTGTTGTTTTTGAGGTACCAGGGATTGAACTCAGGACGTTGTGCTTGCCAGGCAAGCGCTTATTCTACTGAGCCATCTCCCTGGCTCTTTTCTGCCAAGTTGGAGGAAAGGGAGGAGATTACTCATTTAGGTTCTACTGTGCTCTGCTTTTGAACTCCCTCAAGAGACCACATTTTTATGCTGTTGCAAATTTTCAGTATGGGGGAACACGGGACTGGGGATATGGCTTAGTGCTGGAATGCTTACTAGCATGCACAACGCCCTGGGTTCTTGCCCCAGGACCTCAAGAAAACAGCTTCAGAGTCCAGGAAGATGGCTCAGTAGAATACACGCTTCCCTGGCAAGCATGAGGATCTGAGTTCAATCCCTAGTTCTGCCAAAAAAAGAAAGAAAACAGAGCTTTGTGAAATTGCTGGGTATTTTATGTTTTTGCTCTGTCCACAGAGAAGAAAGGAACCAGACCCAAGTGCTACGACAGCAGCAGGATGAGGCATACTTAGCCTCTCTCAGGGCTGACCAGGAGAAAGAAAGAAAGAAACGGGAGGAGCGGGAGCGGAAGCGGCGGAAGGAGGAGGAGGTCCAGCAGCAGAAGCTGGCAGAGGAGCGGCGGCGGCAGGTGACGGGCTGCACCTCTGTCCTTGTGGTACCCAGACTACTGGGACTTGACCGTCTGTGTTTTTGCTGAAGTACAAAAGGAAAAATCTGTGTTGGGACTCTGAGTGGTTAGTTTTCCTCACCTTACTCATTCATGGTTCCAGTGAAGCTGGGAGACATTCTCTTTCATGATCTCGTTTCACTGTGTATTACCACCCAACCTCAGTGTCCTTTAGCCATTTCTTTTTTTCCTCAAATGATTAAATAATTAGACAAACTTAGCAAATATGTGTGATGCAATAGAATTGTTTTTGATGTCTGTGCAGCATGTTTTTCCTTATAGTAATTACATTTCCTTACAGCAATTATAGTATAGTCATTACATTTTCTCCTTAGTGTACAAATAAGCCTACATGATCCTGTTCCCCTATTTGATCCCATAGCCTCATCTTCGCTTTGTGTCTGCAGAACCTACAAGAGGAAAAGGAAAGGAAGTTGGAGTGCCTGCCTCCTGAGCCTTCTGCCAATGACCCTGAAAGTGTCAAGATCATTTTCAAATTACCCAATGATACCCGAGTAGAGAGACGATTCCACTCCTCACAGTCTCTAACAGTAAGGATCACCTAAGTGGTGTGAAGTGTTTGTAGCACGTAGGCTATAGGTTTAGAGCATTTTACAGATTCTTGGGGTGCTGTTGGTGTCAGCAATACTGTGATGAACAGGGAAGTAAGAGATGGATGTGGCACCAAGAACAATACATTGAATTGAGAATTGTTTGTTTTGGCTGTCATCTGAAAAATAGTCTTTAGGGTTTTTTTTCATCATACTTGAATTCCACTAAGCAAAAAATAAAACAAAAAAAAATTCAACCTTATTAAGAAGCCTTTTGCCTGGCAAGCGCAAGGACCTGAGTTCAATCCCAATTCCACCAAAAGAAAAAAAAAAAAAAAGCTTTGTTTTGTTCCAGGGTTGGAGGCTGTCCCCTACATATTCTAACACTGGTTTCAGAATCCCACCAAAACCCCTTAGGTTGTAGAGAAAGCTCCTCACTAACCTAGACACTGAATTATATATTTGAATATAAGTGAAGTGTAGTCTGGATCTCTCCTTTACTACCTACACAGTGTATAAGAAGCCACACTTCCTGAGGCTAGCCTGTATGTTTGAGATCCTTATGATACTGGCACTTCCATAGAGAAATAGTTAAAACCAGAGACTCCTAGTAGTCCTGTAGAATGAGGACCAAATTCACATTCTCCCAGGGTTGCTGGATCTATTTCCTTAGTGAATTTATTTAAATTCAGTGCCTCCGTTTTTTCATCTGTAAGATTAAAATCTTACAGATGTGGTGGTACACATCTATAATCCTAACATTTAGGAGGCTGAAGCAAGATCACCACAAGTTTGAGGCCAATATGGACTGTGTATTGAGTCCAAGACCAACCTCAGCTACATAATAAGATCCTGTCTTTTTTTTTTTTTTTAACTTTATTTATTTATTTGTGGGGGGCAGCTCAGCCCACCAGGGGACAGGCTGGCTGGCATGTGGTGCTGGGGTATTGAACCGCGGTCCCTGTGCTTTGCTAAGCTTGTTCTAAGTAGGTGTTTTAGACCACTGAGCCATCTCACCAGCCCAAGATCCTGTCTTAAAGGAGGGGGGAAAAATAGTATAATAGTAGGGATATGGTGCTAGAAATGTAACTCAAAGTTGGAGTGCTTACCTAGAATATGTGAGGCTAATAGTTCAATCTCCAGCACCACAAAATATTAGATACTGCCAGGCTGGTGAGATAGCTCAGTGGTCTAAAGCGCCTGCTTAGTCAAAAGTGCAGGGACCGTGGTTCAATCCCTGTCACCACATGCTGTGGCAGCCCTGCCTCTAGGGCAGGCTGAGCCGGCCACAAAACTCCCTAATAGGATTATTGTTAGATTAAATTCATATAAAGTGTGGGGATGGGGAGATGGCTGAATAGAATAAGCGCTTGCCTGGCAAGTGCAAGGGCCTGAGTTCAATCTCCAGTCCCGCAAAAAATAAATAAATATATTCATATAAAGGGTGATGTACCTGGCTCATAACATAAGCATTCAAATGCTCAGAGTTTGGTATTTATAACCCAAAAAAACCAGTTTGTTTATTTTGAGAGTTGGTACCTTGTTTTTTCCAATTTGATTGCTGTGGTAGATTCTCTGATCACAAGAAATAATCAGTAGGAAATGTCGGGGAGATGGCTCCATGGAATAAGCGCTTCCCTGGCAAGCACAAGGGCCTGAGTTCAATCCCCGGTATTGAAAAAAAAAAAAAAAGGAGAAGGAGGAAATGTCATTATAGAAATGAGTATGCCCTATTTATCAAGTGAAGCTGTGTATTCAATGCTTTTCCTTGTTTAACTGAAGAAGATTGTACGCATTATAGAATCTTTAGCCAAATCTCAGATTTCCCATCTATAAAATGAAAATATACTATGTCCTACAACAGTGGGAGTGAACCTGTTCTGCAGTGGGCTGTTTGTATCACTGAAAGTTCTTTTTTTGAGATCCCCATTGTTTTTTTTTAATTTTATTATTATTTTTTTTAATATTTATTTATTTTCTGTCTGTGTGTGGCCAGCTCAGCCCACCAGGGGGTGGGGCTGGCTGGCATGTGGTGCTGGGGGATTGAACCATGGTCCTGCCGGGGGTCCTGTGCTTTGCTTAGCTTAGCTTGTTCTAAGTAGGTGCTTTAGACCACTGAGCCATCTCACCAGCCCTGAAAGTTCTAAAAGGTTCACCATCACTGCCCTGTAGTGACTTTATTTATTTATTTATTTATTTATTAAAGTTTTATTTAGTGGGGGGGGCAGCTCAGCCCACCTAGGGGTGGGGCTGGCTGGCATGTGGTGCTGGGGGATTGAACCGCAGTCCCTGTGCTTTGCTAAGCTTGTTCTAAGTAGGTGCTTTAGACCACTGAGCCATCTCACTATCCCCCTCTAGTGACTTTTAAACTGAGGATATGTCATGTTCTGAGCTGGACACTAGTTAGGGAGCTCTACAGATGAGTGAAACTTGGTTTTGGAAAGTCATGGAACTCACTGGACAGTAGGGAATATAATACTGAAAGAATGCAGAATAAAAGGTCAGTCACCCTGATAACAAAGAAGTAGCTTCCTTGTTTTGTCTCATAGGTAGTGCACACATCTCTTAATTTTGGATTTTTAAAGGGTGGGGGAGTCAAGAAACAAGATCATCTACATGTTAAGCAAACATTTTGCCACTAGACTATACTCTAGCCCCTGGGATTTTAATCAGCATGATATGAATGTACTCAGAGAGTAACTAGCATTTAGTAGGTGGTTACTAATTGTTAATTTCCTTTGGTTTTCCCCCCCATGTTTGCTATTACAGATTTGTGTGTGGATTTTAACCTACATGTTCACTAGAAGTTTCATTGTGCATCTTAGCTCTGTGTAGTTTCAAGTTTCTACCCCCAGAATCTGATAGATCCACTGTACGTGAAAAACCTAGCCAGAATTTACTCTCCTGATAAGTTTTGGAGGAAGAAGCTATTTAAATTGTTGGAGGGGGGCTGGCGAAGATAGCTCAGTGGGCCGGCGAGATAACTCAGTGGTCTAAACACCTGCTTAGGCAAGCTTAGGTAGGCTCAAAGGACCGCACCACATAAGGTGCCAGCCCTGCCCTTGGGGTGGGCTGAGCCAGCAAAAAAAATAAAATAAAATGTTGGAGGGGCCGGGAAGATAGCTCAGTGGCATAAGTGCCTGCCTGGCAAATGCAAGGTCCTGAGTTTGATCCCTGGTACCAAAAAAATAATATATAAAATTGTTGGACAGAATAGGACTAGAGGGGGCCTGCCCCTTAGCTCAGTTCTTTAAGTGGCTGCTTCAACAAAGCAGTGAAGGGCTGGTGAGATGGCTCAGTGGTCTAAAGCACCTACTTAGAACAAGCTAAGCTAAGCTAAAACACAGGGACCACGGTTCAATCCCCAGCACCACATGCCAGCCAGCCCCGCCCCCTGGTGGGCTTAGCTGGCCACACACACACACAAATAAATAAAATAAGCGCTTGCCTGGCAAGTACAAGGGTCTGAGTTCAATCCCGGGTTCTGCCAATAAATAAATAAAACTTAAAAAAAAAGAAAAGTCAGAGCAGAAATTAATCAAACTGAATCTGGATGTGGTGGTGCACAACTGGAATCCAGCACTCAAGAGGCTGAGGCAGGAGGATCATTGTGAGATCAAGGTCAGCCTGATCTGCATAGTC